AGTTTGGGTAAAGATAAGACTCTTAGAGAGTTAATCCTAATCCCACTAGGAGTCCTAGATTAACAGTAATCCTAAGTCCATTAGGGTCAGGCTCCTTTTGGGACTAGGATTGTGTTGGCTATAAAAGAGAGGCACCCCCATGGGTCTAAGGTATGCTTTTGATACTCAAGCTTGTGAGTTCAGTACTTGATTATACTGACTTGATCGTCGGAGTGCCCCCGGGTGGTCGAAACCACCGCGGGATTCTTATATTTTTGTTACAGGTCAGTCAGGGGCCATCTATTCTGCCAGTGCTCTCCAGCTGGTTACTAAGCGGGCAGTGTGGTCGGAAAATCACCCACATAATAAGGTGATTTTTTTTTTAGTTAATTACTTAAAAATATTGTTTATAAATGTTATGATAACTCATGTTCTATTTAAGATTTTTTAAATTAATAAGTTCTATTTAGTAAAAATAAAAATATTATTAGTTTTTTTCTGAATTTTTAAAATTAGAAACATTATCAATTTTGTATAATAATGTTTCAGATAATTGTTTCACAAACTGATAAAAAAATAGAGCATGAGGTTAAACGTTTTTGCCTTTCAACTTATTAGTTTGATTCAACTATTCAATAAAATTGAGAACATTATCAGTTTTTTCCGATTTTAAAACTGAAAGTATTATTATTATTTTCATTTTAATTTTGTATATCAATATTCTATTATCATGGTCCTTTATAGAGACAAATTTTTTAGTTTTGTAAAAAAAAAAATAATAATACAAAATTTTCAAAAAAACAAAGCTTACATACTTTCTTCTTCTTTTTTTTAGTTTTTTCAATTTGAAAGTTGATATTTTAAGGTTTTGAAAATCAGAATAAATATTAAATCATCATATTTGTTTATAAATAATCATAAATGATGAATACTCATTGTTTGAAGGGTAATTTTAATTATTAAAAATTTAATAGGATTTAAATATTTAAAAAATGGGTCCAGCTTGTCTCATGTTTGAGATCAAGACTGGACCGTCCAGTCCGACCCATGGGCTCATTTTTTGGTCCCGTTTAATAATTTGAATTGTTCAATGTGTAGAACTCTTCGAGTACTATATTCTTGTAAAAAATCACATTGATTGGATATCGATAGCTATTTGATCGAATCATATTTTTGTCAACTGTTTATTTTTTCACTGTCTATTTTGTTTATACAAATCTAATTTGATTAAATAGCTTTTGATATTTAAATCAATATGAGTTTTTACAAGGATATATTACTTGACGAGTTCTATACATTGAACAATTTGAATTATCAAAACGAGACCCAAAAAATAAGCCCCATGGGCCGGACTGGACGGTCCAATCTTGACCTCAAATATGAGACAAGCTGGACCCTTAAAAAATCTCAATTAAAACATAATCTTCGTTTAAGATGTGGGTTGATTTTTTAATTTTTTGATTTTTTTGTTATTTTAATCTCCAGCTAAAAGTTTCGTTTGGAATGGACTTTTTGGCTGTTTTGACTTTTATGAGAGAAAAAATGAAATAGTTATAATTTAGATGTGACATTTTATCATATTAACTTTTTAGTCTATTTTATCTTTTATGACTATTTTAATATAAAAAATTCATTCCAAACATAACTTTAATAAAATGTAAGTTCATAAATTATGAATTATAAATTTCATGTAGATCTCATATTTATATAAAATATTTGATAAATTTTTTGATAAAATTTTTGAGTTCTAACACTTTTGTTTTTGTTTTTGTTTTTTTTAAAAAGAAAGTAAACGAGGCGAGCAAATGTCATAAGTCAGCAAGCACGACTGCCTCTGCCTCTCCACCTATTATTCTAGGTCCGGGAATATATATTTAGGTTTGGTTTGGTATCTTTAAAAGAAAATTAAAAAATTAAAAAAGTCACTATTTTATTTGAGTTATATTATTTCATTTAAGTCGCATTATTTTTTATCACATCACTTCAAATATAACTCATATTTCATAAAAAGTTAAAAAGTACACTTATTTAAGACATCTCAAACAACTTCCTAGGGTGTTTTGGATGCATCATAAAAAGTTAATTTTTTTACTTTTTAATTTTTTTAGTCAAAAAAATTACAAAAAATTGAATTTTTGTAGCATAAAAAAGTCAAAAAGTCACCAAAAATTCAAAAATTAGTTTTTCACAAATTTCTCAAAACACTACTTATTATATATATGTCTCGTTTGAGAATATGTTATTTCAATAATTTTTTTATAAAAAAATAAAGAGAATAATATAATAATTTATAGTAATTTTTTAAATTTTTAACTATAAAAAAATAAAGAGAATAATATAATAATTTATAGTAATTTTTTAAATTTTTAACTATAAAAAAATAAAGAGAATAATATAATAATTTATAGTAATTTTTTAAATTTTTAACTATAAAAAAATAAAGAGAATAATATAATAATTTATAGTAATTTTTTAAATTTTTAAGAAATTTTTTAAAAAGTGACTTATAAATTAGTTTATTAGTTTTTTTAATTTATTTGGGTCATGATTGTCTCTTTATTTTTTACATTTCCTTTTGTACTATACAAAAAAATTAATTAATCTATTTTTTGAGAAGGCAAAAAAAAGAAGCCAACTTAATTTGTTCACATCACTTATTTATTTTTTTACTTATTTTTTCATTATAAATTAATAAAAAAATGATTTTTCCGAAATGAGAATATTTGGGATGCGTAGGTTTATTTTCAAATCGATTTTGATAATCCAAATAAAATATTTATGTAAAAAATTAAAATGATCAGACATTAATAATTATATGTTTGAATTAAATTTAGTAGTGTTTTAGAAAAATGGTAAAAAATTAAATTTTTGACTTTTTAGTCTATTTTATCTTTTTATGAATAAAAAATGTGAAATGTAATATGACTAAAAATTGGTAAAAAGCTAGTTTTTTATTTACTTCTCAAAATACGTTTTAATATCCAATTATTTTAATAAATTTTAAAAATAAATTATTTGAATAATCAAAATCATTTCAAAATCAACTTATCAAATCTAATAGAAATAATACTCATGAATGATTTGATGTTTTGATGTATGTGTCTTTTTTTTTTCTCCATGTCACGTCATTAATGTCATTATTAGAATTTTAAATTTAGAATTATGAATCATTATTCTTAAAAACAAAAAAAAAAACAAAACAAACACCAAAATATTATATCACATGAGGCTCATACTCCTTCCGTCCTAAAATATTAGTCCCTTATTTTATTTTTCATTATCCTAAAATATTAGTCCCTCTTCAAAAATCAAGTATAAAAATAATATAAATTTTCTATTTTGCCCTTCTTTTAAATTAATAAACAATATAAAAAGTACAAAAATGACATTGATATTCCCAAAACATGTACTATCAAAAGGATAATTTTAGAAAATTAACTTTTTTCAAATGCAATAATTTTTTTTTCTCCATGTCACGTCATTAATGTCATTATTAGAATTTTAAATTTAGAATTATGAATCATTAGTCTTAAAAACAAAAAAAAAACAAAACAAACACCAAAATATTATATCACATGAGGCTCATACTCCTTCCGTTCCAAAATATTAGTCCCTTATTTCATTTTTCATTATCCCAAAATATTAGTCTCTCTTCAAAAATCAAGTACAAAAATAATATAAATTTCCTATTTTGCCCTTCTTTTAAATTAATAAACAATATAAAAAGTACAAAAATGACATTGATATTCCCAAAACATGTACTATCAAAAGGATAATTTTAGAAAATTAACTTTTTTCAAATGCAATAATTGTACTACCAAAAAAAGTTAGATTCTCCAAAAGGGACCATTATTTTGGGACGGAAGAAATAATAAATTAAAACTCTCTGGAGCTCACAAATTAAAACTTTTAATATTTTTTTAAAGAGTAATGTTAGAATTATCAAAGTGTCTTGCTAGCCGTTTCGAGGGAAGAGGCATTTTTTTAAACGACAATGCTAGATAGCTCAAATTTTTGTGGCTCAAATGGCTCAAATCTGTCAAAACGACGTCGTTTTGACAGATTTTGAGTGTAAAACGACGTCGTTTTGACAGATTTAAGCCATTTAAGCCACAAAAATTTAAGCTACCAAACATTTTCCTTTTTTAAATAAGCGAAACATTTTTTTAAAGAAGCGAAACCCGTTAATAGTTCATCGACGATCATTCCTGTCTAGTACTTCTCTCTCTCTCCTCTTCTCCAAAAGGGGCTTCTCTCCTTGTCCCTCGAGTCCTTTTTCTCCCTCTACATCGAAACCCTAGAAATTCATGTTCCCGAATCCCACAACTTTCGTTTCACACAGCCTAGATTTGCTCACATCATAAACCAGCTCTATTTCCAAGTCCAATTCTTGTCCAATTCGTGTGCATATTTCTCGTACAAACCCTAGATCTGATCACAATTTCACGTAATTCATTGAGTTCATAGAGCAATTGCATTCACCGATTGAGCATGGGTATGGGTAGGGTTTACAGAGAAACCTCGAAGCCATCGTCGTCGTCATCACCGTCTTCGCCTCCGGTTACTACTTCGACATCGATCACCGAAACTGTAAATGGGTCGCACGATTTCAAGATAACTGGGTACTCGCTGTCGAAGGGAATTGGGATCGGGAAGTACATAGCCTCTGAGACTTTCATGGTCGGTGGATACTCGTGGGCGATCTACTTCTACCCAGATGGAAAAAGTGTTGAAGACAATGCCGCATACGTGTCCCTGTTCATCGCTCTTGCCAGCGAAGGTACGGATGTGAGGGCGCTTTTCGAATTGACCCTTTTTGATCAGAGTGGGAAGGAGAGGCACAAGGTTCACACCCATTTTGGGAGGGCTCTGGAGAGCGGGCCGTACACCCTTAAGTATCGTGGAAGCATGTGGTAAGTCTTGTGTTTATGGGTTTTCAAAGGCTTCAATTGCTGAATTATCACTGTCTAGAACAAGACTTGATTACTGATTGATATTCAGTTTATTTTGTGTTTAATGCTTTCAATTACAGTTAATTTTCTTGGGTATTGTTTTAGTGGTATGTGGAAATGTGCTTATATTTAGAATTACAGTTGTGAACATGTGGAGAAATTATTAAGCGCTCATGGTGCTCTAAATTAATAGCTATTGGTTTAAACTGTAGAACATATGTCACTTTTGTGTTAGAGTTTTAGGAGACAATGTGAAAGATATCAATGGAAATGGAATGGAGCATTGCTCTAAGAGCACTGAATAATTTATTGAACGTGTGAGGTGTGCACTTTGGGTGGAAATATATGTAGATAATTGAGTCAACTATGGCGTCGTACCTTTATGATTCGGATGGCTATAATGAGTATGATGCATTTCCATGAGGTTAAGATGTTTTGTGGCTAAAATCAGCATCTTAGGTGTTTGATCACAATTTGTTTTATTGTGAATTAAACTTGAAGCAGCACCTTTTATGTTATCCTTTTTAGCTTTGAACTAATGCTCTCCTTGTAAAATATTTTACACTGTAAAAATTAATTGAGTTTTGGTTCTTTTTGTTCCTAGGGTTAGAAATGATTCTTGTGTTGTTGGAGGACATTCAAGTAAAAGATAAACATTTTTTTTTTTTTTTGTCTGCAAGGAATAAAAAATCCTCTTATTTTCATTGAAACAGCCTAAGCATTTCCTTTTCCTAAGAGACTGAGGCGAAGCTCTAATAGAATGAAGTACTTTCAGTGTTTTTGTCAAAAGAAAGCAAAACTCATCCAAGCACAACGAAACACAGTGAATCCATAAGTTGTGTCGACACGAATTTGGAATCTCTCATAAATGTTTTTATATCTATTTTTTAGGGAAAAAAAAAAAGGATAGAAGGCCTTTTTACACTAAATCAATAAGAATTATTATTGTAATATTAGTATAGTAATGCTATTCACTTGTCAATAAAATGTTAGTATAGAAATATTATTATTATCTCTGTTATTTTTTGATCTTAAGTTGTTGGATTCTCATGCACTTATAGAACCATGTGCACTTGCATTTGATCAAATTAATTTATTTGACAATACATATCGATTTCTGATTCCTAGAAACATTTAATTTATTTGATAAAATTAATTTATTTGACTTATTTAAGGGAACGAATATCAAAATCTAATCATGTTTAATTAATAAATTATTATGCTTCTATATATTTAGATAAGTTTTAGTTTGTATTTTTAAACATTTTCATGTATTTTCATTTTGGGGGGTCTATTCGAAATGTTTCCAAAATGTTTCGGATATGTTTCCGTTTCCACGGTAGCTGAAACAACACACTGAAGTGAAATTTTAATCGTTGTGTGTGTGTTTGTGTGTGTGTGGGAATTATGTTTAGTTGTCTAATGTTTTGTTTTTCCATGAGGTGCTGTGATGGACTGAGTTGGACAGAAGAATTATTTAGGCCTTATTGATTAAAATTCATGGTATAGAATTTGTGATGACAGTACCGGTTTTTTAATTGATATATTGAATAGCAACTTCTTTGGGAAGATGTGATCAGACGTGCTATTTTTACATACTGTGCTAGATATGCCTTGATATTTTCATGCCACATTGAAGATGAATGTATGGTAGAACATAATTTGTTGATTGTTTGATGTTCCAGGGGTTATAAGCGGTTTTTCAAAAGAACTCTTCTAGAGACTTCAGACTACCTGAAAGAGGATTGCCTTTCGGTTAGTTGTAGTGTTGGAGTTGTTAGGTCACACACAGAGGGCCCTAAGATCTACTCTACACCAGTACCCCCGTCTGACATTGGTCAGCATTTTGGGCAGCTACTGGAAACTGGGAAGGGGGCAGATGTAAACTTTGAAGTTAATGGAGAAATGTTTGCTGCTCACAAGTTGGTACTTGCAGCTCGTTCTCCTGTTTTCAAGGCTCAACTTTTTGGGCCAATGAAGGATCAAAATACACAGTGCATAAAGGTTGAAGACATGGAGGCTCCAGTTTTTAAGGTTCAGTAATATTTACTTTTTCTTCCTGTTTGTACAATTTTATTCATCTTTCAAGTCATATATGTTCATCTATTGCATTATTTCCTCCATACCTTATTACGCACCAGTGATGCTAATTTAAATAGTAGGAATGAAGTTGATATCTTGTAGAAGTTGTATATAATTTATTGTTTATGCAGGGTGCCACTTTGAAACTTAAAATGGTGGCCATATCTGGTGAGTTTTATTTGCACAAATATATTGGGTTTAGATTATATTGATATTTTTTTCCCTGGAAAGAATGTTGATGTATGAGCTGGTTGTTGTGTGCTCATTCTATTTCATTTCTTGTATTAATAACTTGGTGTGTATGGCTTGTTTTTTGATTTTGAAACCTTAGATCTATTGTCTTATTTACACTGAAAGCAACACAATGATCTTGTGAAGTTAAAACATTGAAAATAAATAAAAATTATATAAATACACGAGACTCAAGAAGTTGAGTCAATTTCAGTTTTCATGAATATGTGGGCCTTAGTTGTTCGTTTGTTATCACATTTTGTTTACTTCAACATGGATATGTTAAACACTGACTTGCTTATCAGAAGCCATAGATGAGCTGCTCTTGTGGGCTTCACTTTTGTACAAATTTATCACATTAAGGATTTTATATAAATAATATGCAAGGGAATGGTCACAGGAATAAACTAGTTGCAATAGATAATATAGCTAGGAAGCACACATGTGGACATTGGATATCCTTGACACAACATGGGCACGTTGACTCTTGAAATTTTAAAAATTCAGCAGACAGACACGGAAGGTATATAAAAATATAACTTATTTATCTTTTACATTACGAAAATAGTTACTATATTTTATTATTTATAAATTTTAATAAATCAGTTTCCACATTTTGTATGTTGGAAAAGAAATGTGAACAAAAGTCTTTGTGTCTATCTTAAAAGGCTCATTCTATCCACTAGAAAATGAAAGTTTTAAGCTTTAGAGAATAAAAAGCCTAAAGGATGAGGCATTAAAAACGCATTGTTTTTATTTTAATAACTGGATCTCAAGTTGTTTCCTTCAGTTTGACTATAGACATGTAAGTTCCTTGAGTGTCCATAGTGTTAAAAAAAAGTAATATGACACGTTTGGACACATATCCATGTTGGGACTTGTCCACTATGGACACGACACCTTCTCAAAAGTGGCCAAGCTTGTAATATGGACCAAAGTTTTTAAAGGCAAATAGGCAAGGTGTTTCACCCCTCACGAGGCAAAGCGTAAGCCTCGAGGCATAAGCATTTCGAATTTTTATATATAGTAAATAAATAAAATATTTTAAAGTAGCAAAAAATATTAAAAATTAAATATAAAGGTATAAATACTTTCCTTCTCTAAGCATTGAACATTTTATTGCCACATAGGGGGAAAAAAAACACTTGTTTAAGTGTATCCCCTTAGTTGTGTATCCCATTGTCAGCCTTCTGGGATTTGGTGGTTTGGTTGTGGCATGAGGATGTGTTTTGATTAACCGTCAACTTCCATGGTTTAACTTTGCAAAAAAATTTAAAAATATTACTGTTTAAGTGTGCTTGGCATCGGCTTGGAATTAACTTGTGTGTCATGTTGCTGTTTACTGTGCTTCTGTGCTTTGCAGGCTTTGCTTCATTTTATATACTGGGATGCGTTGCTTGACGTGGAAGAACTTACTGGTTTGAACTCGAAATGGGCTTGTACTTTGATGTCTCAGCATCTGCTTGCTGCTGCTGATCGGTATGGTTTGGAGAGGCTCAGGTTGCTCTGTGAGTCTAATCTTTGTGATGATGTTGCCATAAACACTGTGGCAACAACATTAGCCCTGGCAGAGCAGCATCACTGTTTCCAATTAAAATCTGTTTGTCTCAAATTTGTTGCAATGCCTGAAAATCTAAGAGGTGATTGTTATTATTACACAAATTTATTTTCGTCTTATGTTTTTTATCTAGTAATTTGAAATTTATAAAGGAAAAAAAAAACTCTTATCTATCTGACTATGTTGTGGTGGTCAGGTTAGTGCATAAGGAATGGCTGAAACTAATTATTGGCGATAATCTGACATTTCTACATCCACTGCACAAACTATGCATTTTCAATTGTGTATGGTTTTCAGGGGATGATATATCCCAAGGAGTGATAAAGCCATTTTATAGTAATTATTTAATTGTTTTTAGTAAAAGATTAATGCTCCTGTATCATCTATCAATTATCAGATTCATTGGCAATAAAGAAATACTTGTTGGTGCAAAGTGTTTATCTTCAACATGTTTGATCATTTTATCAGTGAATGTTTAATGAGAGAATTGTGATGACTCAATGTTATGGCTTGACGTATCTCAAACTTCTCGGGTGTTACTAATTCAGTGAACCATTTTCCTTTTTTATTTTCCAGCTGTGATGCAAACGGATGGCTTTGATTACTTGAAGGAAAGTTGCCCCTCTATTCTGACTGAACTCTTGGAGTATGTCGCGACGATTAGCGAGCACTCTGTCATTGCCAGCAAGCATGGGGATGAGGCTCTCCTAGATGGCAGTGATGTTAATGGTAGACGTGTGAAGCAAAGACTATAATAAAAATTGTTTTGTACACCTCTTCAGTTGCCCAAACAAAACAAACAAAAAAATAAAAAAAAAGGAAGGAAAAAGTAGCAGAAAGTTTGTGTCTAGGATTAGAAGCATTTTGCCAGTTTCTCTCGGCTTAGCAATTTGTTGAGATGTAAATTTAGTGTTCACCTGGTTGTAATCTGAAGTTCTCTTTTAGTAGTTTGCATTGTCCATTTTTTCCTTGTTCTTATATGCTTGTGTATGGTTATTGTGATTGTAAGGTTTTAGAGAACTTTTTCTTCAGAAACTAATCAAACTATAATATTAACAGTTCATATGATTAGACTTCACTCTCTCTCTTTGCTGACCTCTTTTTTGCTGTGTTTGTGTGTGATCTGATGTGGTCATCTGGCAGTGAGAAGATTGTTCCTCTTCGATGATGATGTGAATTGTGTGTTGCATAATGGAGATGAAATTTATGTTAGGGACTACAAGAAGTTTTTTTCTTCTATTGAGGCTTCTGAATTGCGTGTTCCCCTATGAAATAGGGCATTGGCCTCAATTTCTCTAATTGCAAAGTTGCTATTAGTAGAAATGCAGACATTTCTTTTGAGGTTAAATTGCACATTTCTTCTGAGGTTTGTTGTATTGTACGAGTTTTCATGAGATTTTGAAATTTAGGGTTAGGTTGAGAGGAGGTGAAAGAGACGATGACTGTTGGGGGTGGTGATTGGGATTATGGCTTGGCTTCATAAAGTAAGCAAGGAAGTAAAGAGAAGTGATCAAGGATAAGTTTATGACAGCAAACGAGTTGCTATCGAGATGATGAAGGTTAGGGGTGGTGATTGGGATTGATGTGAGATTATGGGGCATTTTGGCAGTATAGTAAAAAGTTAATTTTTGATTTGTTTGGATCATATCACCTCTTTATGGCGTGACGTGGGATTGTGGCTTTACAAAGTAAGAGTATAAAGTGGAGATGTGATTAAGGATGACGGTTAGGGGTGGTGATTGGGATTGATGTGGGTTCATGACTATTGAGAAATTTGAAAAGAAAAATATAAAATATGTGTGAAGTTAAATGAAATATAAGTATATTTTATTTATATTTCATATATATTTTTTATTTTTTCTTTTTAACTTTCCTAACCAAACATGGTCTGAAGAGGAGAAGTGATTAAGGATGAGTTTATGATGGTAAATAAGTTACATTGAATGGTAAGTTGTTTAAATTTAATTTAAAAATTCACAAATTTTAAAATATTTTTAACATCCCCATTGATTTTAAATGAATTTTTAACAGCTATGATTTTATTTCAGAAGGAATATCTACAATTAAATAGAAAAATTCTATTAACAATATTATTTTTATAAATATTTTATTTTAAAATAAAAAATCACATTATAGACATCAATTTTATATAAATTTTGTGTTTATCTATATTATTATTAAAAGTAAATACATCACTTTGTGTTCGTGAATTTCTTTTTCTTCTTTTGTCAAGTGACCTTTTCTTCTTGCGACAAGTGTCAATTTCTCCATCTAAAAATAAATAAATAAAAAATAATAGTTAAAAGAGAAACAAAAGACTTAAATATAAGACCATTCACTTTCCTTATAAAAAAGAGATTTTTATTGATAAGTCTAATTTAGAAGTGTTTTAACCCAAGAAATCCATGAAAGAATTTTTTAACCCATTTAGTCCCATGTATGTATAGTTTTATTTCATAAAATCCATTTTCTTGATTTACACTATTTTCTTGGACACTTATGCCCTTATATTTAATTTTGATACCCTTATAAATATTTTTTCAACGATTAGCAATTTAATGATGTGAATATTCATATTTTAAAATTTCACATTTATAGAATGTAAATTGGCCCGTGGGCGGCCCGAAACCCGCTCGCGAGCCAGGGTGGGCCCGGCTCGTTGACAATGTGAAATTTCACATTGACATGTTAAAATTCACATTAATAGGAGTGTAAAATTGGCCCCCGTCCCGTGGCGGCGCGAAACCCACCCGCGGCCCATGGACGGCCGGGGGCGGGCCCGATCCGGCCCGTTGACAATGTGAATATTCACATTGACATGTTAACATTCATATTGATAAGAGTATAAAATTGACAGCCGCGGCCCAATGGTGGCCAAAAGCCCTCCCGCAGCCCGGGACGGGCCCGGCCCGGCCCCATTGACAATGTGAACATTCACATTAATAGGAGTGTAAAATTAGCCTGCGCCTCGTAGCTGCCCGAAACCCGCCCACGGCCCGTAGGCGGGCCCGGCCCGGCCTGTTGACAATGTGAATGTTCACATTGACATGTTAACATTCACATTGATTAAGAGTATAAAACTAGACAGCAGCCTAGGGCGGGCCCGGCCTGGCCCGTTAATAATGTGAATATTCAACATTGACATGTTAACATTCACATTAATAGGAGTGTAAAATTGGCTCTCGTCCCGTGGCGGCGCGAAACCCGCCCACGGCCCATGGGCGGCCCGGGGGGCGGGCCCGGCCCGGTCCGTTAACAATGTGAATATTCACATTGACATTGTTAACATTCGCATTGATAAGAGTATAAAATTGGCCCGCGGCCCCATGGACGGCCAAAAGCCCGCCCGCTGCCCGGGGCGGGCTCGGCCCGGCCCGTTGACAATGTTGAATATTCACATTGACATGTTAACATTCACATTGATAAGAGTGTAAAATTGGTTCGCAGCCCGTGGGCGGCCGAAGCCCGACCGCAGCCCGAGGCGGGCTTGGCCCGACCGCGTGACAATGTGAATATTCACATTGACATGTTAACATGCACATTGATAGGAGTGTAAAATTAGCCTGGCGCCCTGTGGCTGTCTCGAAACCCATCCACTGCCCGTGGGTGGCCCAGGGCGGGCCCGACCCGGCTGTTGACAATTGAATATTCACATTGACATGTTAACATTCACATAGATAGAGTGTACAATTGGCCCGTGACCCGTGGGCAGCCCGAAGCCGGACCTCGGGCCTGGCGGGCCCAGCCCTTGGCAATGTTGAATATTAACATTGACATGTTAACATTCACATTGATAGGAGTGTAAAATTGGCCCGCAGCCCGTGGGCGGCCCGAAGCCTGATCGCAGGCCGAGGCGGGCTTGGCCCAACCCGTGACAATGTGAATATTCACATTGACATGTTAACATTAACATTGATAGGAGTGTAAAACTTGTCCGCTGCTCGAAACTCGCCCGCGGCCCGGAGTAAGCCCGAACCAAACCCGGGTCACTCCGGGCCGCCCACGGGCTTCAGGCCGCTCATGGGACGCGAGTCAATGTTACACTCTTATCAATGTTGAATGTTAACATGTCATGTGAATATTCACATTGTCAACAGGCGAGCCCGGCCCGCCTCGGGCTGCCTACGGGCCGTGGGCGTGTTTCGGGCAACCACGGGGCACGGATATGTTACACTCCTATCAATGTGAATGTTAATATGTCAATGTGAATATTCACATTATCAACGGGCCGGACCGGGCTCGCCCCGGGCCGCCCATGGGACGCGAGTCAATTTTACACTCTTATCAATGTGAATGTTAATATGTCAATGTGAATATTCACATTGTCAACGGGCCGGACCGGGCTCGCCCCGGGCCGCCCATGGGACGCGAGTCAATTTTACACTCTTATCAATGTGAATGTTAATATGTCAATGTGAATATTCACATTGTCAACGGGCCGGACCGGGCTCGCCCCGGGCCGCCCATGGGACGCGAGTCAATTTTACACTCTTATCAATGTGAATGTTAATATGTCAATGTGAATATTCACATTTCAACAGGCCAGGTCGGGCCCGCCCCGGCCCGCCCATGGGCCGTGGTCTAGTTTCGGGCAGGCACGGGGCGCGGACTGATTTTATACTCTTATCAATGTGAATGTTAACATGTCAATGTGAATATTTGCATTATCAACGGGTCGGGCAGGGCCCGCCTAGGGCAGCCCACGAGCCGCAAACGAGTTTCGGGCCAACCACAGGCCGCGGGCTAATTTTACACTCATATCAATGTGAATGTTAACATGTCAATGTGAATATTCACATTGTCAACGGGCCGGGCCCGGGCCCGATCTTCGGGCTGCCCACGGGTCATGGGCCAATTTTATACTCTTGTCAATGTTAATGTTAATGTTAATATGTCAATGTTAATATTCATATTGTGAACGGGCCGGCCCGAGCCCGCCCCGGGCGACGGGCTAGTTTCGGGATGCCCACGGGCCGCAGACCAATTTTACACTCCTATCAATGTGAGTGTTAACTTGTCAATGTGAATATTCATATTATCAACGGGCCGGGTCGGGCCTATTTTTTTGGCTTGTGGGTCGGCCCGGCCTAACTCGAATTTTTCCGGGCACCCACGAGGATCGACATGAGCCGGGCCCCTACACATTGACGATATAAACATTCATATTGACGGTGTGAACATTCACATTAAATGTATTTTGGTAATAATGTCACCTATAGGACTTATTGAAATATAAAAAAATAATGTGAACTAAATTGAACATAAGTAGATAAAAAGGGTATTTTGGTCTTCTTATCTCAAATTAGACCTAATGGAATAGTCAAAAAGAATATGGGTTAGATGGAATAAAGCTCTTAAAAAATAGACTTATCAAAAAAGCTCCCTATAAAAAAACACTTAAATTACTTAAATAACATAAAAAAAATATGTTATCAACTTAAAATTAAAATTTATATTTTCACTCGCTTATGTACCTTCGTATCAGACATTGTGGGTGTTTGCGAAATTAATTATTTTAGTAAGTTATTTTAACTATTTTAATAAATTAAAATAATTATATCTAGGAAGTAGGTTGAATTCTTTTATAATTAGAAGATGCCATATTTGTAAAATAATAATTATTATTATTATAAATTTAATTGTAGCCTTAAAAAACCAAAAAAATCTTCTTTCCAAACACCCAATTACATAAGTAGAGCAGCTCGAAAGTTGAACTCGGAATACAAACCCAGCGGAACGAGCCGAGAAAATTTCCCCGGAAACATGGTGATTTTCCTTCTCTTTTCTTCCTCTTTCAAAGTTCATATTTTGATCTCACATCCTTTCGATGCTTCAATAATTTTTCCCTCGATTGATTCGAATTTTTTGGTTTAATTTCCCAAAATCTTTGATCTTTTCTGTGTTTACAAACGCCTGGTTTTTTTTTTTTTTTTTTGTCGCAGTTGTTCTTCTCGTATTTCAAGGACCTGGTGGGCAGAGAAGTGACAGTAGAGCTAAAGAACGATCTAGCCATTCGGGGCACTCTGCATTCGGTCGATCAGTACCTCAATATTAAGCTTGAGAACACTCGGGTTGTCGATCAAGACAAGTATCCCCACATGGTGCTCTCTTTTACTCTTATTTTTTTTAGGGTTTATGTTTTGATATTTGCATTCTAGAGATTGGTGTGATATTTTATTTGTTTTGATAAATACTTGTGAATCTTGCGATTGGATGGTAATGTTAAGTTTTAGGGCGTTAGGGTTTAGGGTAGGTTAAATTTTGATCTGTTTCACTATATATATTAAAATTCAAGCGCAAGTGGACATGTGTGTGCTTTGTGGAATTGTATTTTGTTCATGATTTTAGGAACTATTGCATTATTGGGACTGCACTCCAGGATTGTACCTTTAAATTCTGGGATTAGTGGGTGATGTGTATGTGTGTTTATGTAGCATGCTTTGATATTTTTTTCTGGTTTGATTTCATGGTAAATAACCATGGTTGCTTAGTTGTATGGTTTTGTTGATGCACATGTTGATGAGAGGTTGAGATGTGTGAATGCTTGTTGTGATGTGCTATGAAGATCCAGGCTTTAGGGTTGTTACTGCCTTTTAAATTCTTAAATTTCCAAAGTTGTAGCCTGACCATCAAGGTCCTAGAAATGATGAATATTGAGTCTTTCTAATCAAGATTTCTTTGTCTTTTTTTTGTGCAATGGTTTGGACATATGGGTAGATATAGAATATTGAATTTTCAAATTTTTTGCATGAGCTTTATGCTATGTTTAGTTGAGAGATTTGGGAAGGGATTTGGAAAGAGAAAGGGAAAGGGAAAGGGAAAGGGAAAGGGAAAATGTAGGTGAAATATAAATAAAATATACACACACTTCACTTTGTTTTACACATCTTTTCCCTTTCTACATGCTTTTTATTTTTTCCTTTCCAAATCCCTTCCCAAATCTCCCAACTAAACACAGCATTAAGGTTTCTTAGAAATGATGAATGTTAAACTTTGTGGTACAAAATTTGAAATTTTAATAGTCTAAGGAATGTAGATTTGGAATATTGATCTAACTTGAGAGGTGTGGGAGAGGAATATGCTAGCCTTGGTATCCAGCTTGGGTTTGCGCAAATAATTACACTGGTCTCCCCTAAGGTCTCGTACAATTAATAGTGAGTGAGAGTTTAGAGTGAAAAAATTTAAGGCCGGAGAGTAGAGTGAGAATCATGAAGTGTTTTGTTTGGAAAGAGAGAGAGAGATTTTCCCAATTATTTTAAAAATCAAATCTTGGACTATGTCATATTTCTTAACCTTTTACATACAGTAATAACGAAACTAGATTTAGTTTTCACCTTTGTGTTAGTGGATTTTTATGTATTTTCTATTTTAGAGCTTGTGACAAAGCCATTTATCTATTATTTTCTACTAAAATATTTACTGATTGCCAAATGGAATTCTGAGAAAAATGCTGGTAGTTTAGCTTACATATGGACTTCCTCTTTGCTCTCCAAATATTTTTTCCCTTTGATCCTTCTGAATTTTTGCAAGTTGTATTCTAACACTTTTTGGCTATGTAGTCCATTCTTGTTCTCTGTTTTTAACAAGCTCGATCTCAGGTGTAGTTATATGATTGCTATTTGTGGAATGACTTGACTTTTCGGGAAACATTATTAAGTTCATTTAGCCCTCTCCATGGTTTTGGGCTTGATATTGGTGTTTTTAAGCATCACATCTCACATCACATCTCATTTCCTCACTTTTTGTTTTATCTTTCTTATTTCTTGTAAAATTATGCTGTGTGTAAATAATACATTTATATGGCAGCTTTCTGTGAGGAACTGTTTCATCAGAGGATCGGTGGTTAGATATGTTCAGTTACCACCAGATGGAGTTGACATTGAACTGCTTCATGATGCTACAAGAAGAGAAGCTCGCGGTGGCTGAAATTCATTAGTGACAATTTAGTGTATGTTATGAACATTTTGACATTGAATGTAATAGTTTTTCTTTGTAGTAGCTTTGGGCATACTTCTAATGGCCCGACATTTGAATTGGGTACTTTTGACTTGTGTCTTGCCACAAACAGTCATCATTATTGGAAATTTGAGCCAAGTTCTCCTACACGCCTTCTAACAATGCTCAATGTTCATGTATTTTGAAAAATTTCTAGCAGTAACACGTATTATTTTGTGAATTTAGTATACTTGTCCAAGTTGTAACTCAATGTTGTTAGGAAGTGAGATATGACCCCAAAAAGCCAATGTCTTGTGAATGGAGCTGCTGGTGCATCTCATTTATCCTGAACCTTACAATAGGCTTGATTATTTTCCTTTTACCCTCCTTTCTTGCAATTGAATTGAATTTTTTTTTTTTTTTTTTTTTTTGAAAAAAATTTAGATTCCTAGAATATTTTTACTGCGATCGATGTCATAATTAGTTTGCTTATCAATTGAAGTTGTTTAATCAAAGTCTATTACATCTTTCAATCCTTCTAGGTTTTTTTTAGGGTTAATTATTCAGTAATTTTGGAGTACAGACACGTAGTATTCCATAACATTGTAATTGGTAGAAAAGGTGGGTAAGGGAATATTGTATTGGATGATTGGAAAACATAAGAGCATCTCCAAAGCACTAGGCATATAATGCTTGTTAGGTAAAATGCCTAGTATGACTCACTTTTTTTAACTCCAATGCACTAGGCATGTGATTAGGCATTTTAGCTCAACTCACATTCACTAGCTACATGTAGCTAGCCTTTAAGACTAGGCAAAATGTATTTAATCATTAGGATTATTTCCCTCCATCTTTGTTGCTGATGTGGCATTTTATAAAATTAATATTATTTGGACGAATAGCTAAAATAAAGAGCATGGTTGGAGCAGAAACATGAAACAATTGATAGGCAAAATAAAATGTATACTTTATAGTAATGTTTAGATAGGTAAAATGCCTATTACCGTTGGAGATGCTCTAAGGACATATTGAATGATAATTGATTAAGGAGTGTAGTATTCCGGGAATTTTAAATAATTTCCCTTTTTTTACCCAAAAATTTCTCACTATTTACATATGTTTTCTAGGAAAGTATTTTTCTGTCATTCAATCCTATATATAGACTTCACATAATTGGGTTCCAATGGTTTAAGGAACTTTCCAATAATATGGCTTTTGATCCCTGTGATTTTCCGCGTTCTGCCACTTTTTCTTTTTTTCTTTCTCGCTACTATACGCAGGGGTTTTCAAGGATCACCTATTCAATTGTAAATTGCGTGTATCAATTAAGACTGAGCTTTACTGTACTCATAGTTTTAACTTAAAATGTTCACATTTACAGGTTTTATGGATCACTCAATCTCTAAACTACCCGATTTTCTACCACTTCTTGTTAAATGCTTGGGTTCATCATCGCATCACTCCTTGTAGAGTATCTTATGAATTTAAATTTTTCCTTTTATAACTGTATAATTCCAAAAACTAATATTAAAAATATATCAGTTACCAAATAAAATTTTCCTTATTCAAGATATGGAGTATTTTTTAAAAAAATAAAAAATATCTGTCATGTGAGCTTTCCATGTAAGTGAGATATTTTTTCCATTTTTCTGGAAATACCAAAATGGTAAGTTGAATTTCTCTTGATTCTAAACCTATCCCTAAATACAGTGATCAATCTTCTCCATAAATACTAGGTGCCTCTCTCTATTGAACTCACACAAGAAACTTCAATACAACGATCCTCTCTTTAATTTTTTTTTATTTTTGATCACTTTTTCTTTGCCATACACACCTTAAAGGAGTTTGAAGATTAACAAGACTAATAATCCCTAGTTAGTTTCTGGCTTATCGAGTCAATCTTCGATGAACCCTCCTGCTCTCTATCCGGTATTTATACGTATTAATTACTGTACTATATTAGTCATTACATACTTATTGGGTTAAGTCTTGTTGGTGTTGTTTTACTTTGGGCTGTGTTATTGCAGACTTGTGTTTTGAAAGTGAATCTCGGTTGTTGCAAGGCATGTGTGGTGAACTTGAACAAACTGTTGTGGAAAATTGATGGTACACTTCTCATTATAATACATATTAATTTACTAGTTTTGGCCAAGTAATTTTCATATCATGTTTTAAATGATCAAAGATCTTCTATCCTCAAATTTTTGTATCTATGTCTTTAAACACTCACAACTATTAAATCTTGAAATATAATTTAAAGAATATAAGTATTTTGGAATAGAAGACTTGCATGTTGTTTTAAATACTTATGTGTGTATTGGTTTTTTAAGCCTTTTCCTAAGACATCCCATGTGGGAATGAAAATTCAGCACTGATCCAGTGCTCTTATCTTGGAGTACTAATGTTAGCTCTCATAAATTGACAGTGCAAGAAAATAAATAAATAAATAAATAAAAGCTAAACTATCACACCAAAAAAAGACTCACAATAATGTCACATCTTTAGTGCAGTTTTTAGAACTGTTAATTTTGTAATCCCAAACATTATTCATAAAAATTATCAGTTGGTTTGGATGTTATAAATTGAGTAATGGTAGAGATTTCAAAAATATCTTTCTTAAACTTATTCATAACGTCATTCAATTTCTTAATATGTATCGCTCAATAATCTCAATATCCATATTGCTACCTATTAACTAGTTTTATCTTTTTCATCATTATTAGGAGTGTATGCAGTGGATCTAGATGCAGAAAAAGGGCTGGTAACAGTATCAGGGAAAGTAGACCCAGCCACACTCATCAAACACATTGCAAAGAAGAAAAAGAAAGCTGAGCTCTTATCCTATGAAGAACCCATTAAAAACAAAGACTCCAACTCCAAGAAAAACACTCCAACTCTCAAAGAACACAAAACAAATGATCACCAAAAGAGCAAGACCAAGAACAAAAGCAAGGACAAGGATTGTTTCTGTGTCGACGAATCCGATGATCATGAATTCGAAGATTATGTGTCACCAAAAGAATATGAAGATGTCGAATGCAGAGACCGCCATTGTAGACTCCACCACAAGAAACCCATCATTCATCATGTTCCTCCTATGATTAAGCTTCAACCTCCTCTTCACCGTCCTCCTCCTCCTCCGCCACACTTTTCGCGGCCGCCGGACCCACATTGGCAGCGCCACCACTATGGAGAGGACTTGATGGAGGGTCGGTGGCGGCGCGTGCAAAACGTGGAGCCGGTTTTGTATGACAGGCCAATACAACTACCTCAATACGACCTGCGTCGTGGTTGTCCGAGGCCGTCTCCGCCACCGGCGGCGGTGGCGCCACAGTATGGTTATTATGGGAGTAGGCATATACCGGCGACGAATGATTGCACTCAGTTCCTTAGTGATGAGAATGCTATGGGTTGCAGTATCATGTGAGCTCAGCTAATATCATGATATTAAAATATATATATAGTTGGTGTTTAGAAAGATTACTATTTTAATAGGTTATTTTAGTTTTTAATTATTTTAATAAGTTAAAAATTTGTATTGGAGAAGATGGTTGAATTTTTTTTATATTTTGATGTGATGTTTTTGAAAAAAAAATATTATAAATTTAATATAACATTTTATTTTATTAATTATTTTATTTTATAAATTTTAACTCAAAATGAAAAATAATCCTTACCAGACAAGACATATTAGTACTTGTTTAAGAATTTATTTTTTTAATCATTTTTTTGCCTTCTTATGATAAGACAGTGAAACTATGGACAAAATTCTTTGACAGTTTATAATAATTTTTTAATATTTTGATTATAATTTTTAGTTTCCAAATCAATCGACAATATTTATTTAAGATGCAGCTTTACAACAATAATTTTAAAGGAAAAATTATTAAAAAAATCTTAAGGTTTGAGAGTTTTGTAACAAAGTAAATCATAAAATTTTAATTTTATCTATTTAAATTATAATATTTTGATTTGTTTCTAATTGAAATTATTTGTCTTTTTTTTTAAAAATAAAATTGATAAAAAAATATATTTTAATTATTAAACTTAATGAAAATTAATATTTTAGATTTTTTTGTACCCCTGAATTGAGTATAATAATTAAAATATTTATTTTTCATCAATTTTACTTTAATAAAAATAGACAAATAGTATATGTTAGAAATAAATCAAAAAATTATAGTTTAAATTGATGAAATTAAAATTTAATTTTTTTATTATAATGTTCAGTTTTTTTTAATTACCCTTCCTTGAGTGTAGCCATTGCTGTAAAATTCATCATAATTTTCTGATTAATTTTCTTTATTCTTCAGACTTTTCCATTATCTTCATCTTCTTCTTCTTTTTTTCTTTTCTTTTTTTTTAATGTTGGCTTTCCTTTCCTTTTGCAACATTTATCGTTGGCATTTTTTTTCAGCCAAAAAATAAAATAAAATAAAATAAAGTTTACCTATAAATCTCATTTTGAGAAATGATAATTCATTTAGTCTCAATGATTTTTTTATGGACCAATTAGTCTAATTGATTTTAGAAAGTTAGATTTAATATATTATTTAAAAATTAAATTTACAGTTATACTCTTGTTATGTTTCCTTCTCCTTTGTTTCTTTTGTGCTAGAAATATAATGTACACAATTTATAAGAATCAAATTTGAGATGAATTTTCATATAAGAATCTTTTTTATTTGGAAAATATTTCAAAAGGAGTACAAAAATGACTTGAAAAATGGGATCCTTCAAATATTCCAAAAGAATGTGGGATTCTTCAAACATTCTAAAACAATGTGAGATTTTTCAAAAGGAGTATAAAAATTCTTCAGTAAATTTTGGACAAATGTATAATTTCAAACTGTAACAATCTCATATAATACCCAAATGTAACACTCCAATGTAACATTTCAATATAATATACAAAAAATTCATTGTTGTATTTTCCCAAATGTAACACTTCAAAAAAAAGATATGAGATTCTTCAAATCATTCCAAAAGATTTGGGATTTTTCAAACCATTACAAAAGGAGTACAAAAATTTCTTAGTAAGTTTTGAGGAAATATATAATTTCAAATTGTGAAAGTTATGTTTAGAAAAATTACATTAAGAAATTTTTTAGTATTTTTGTGTGTGTTACATTGGAGTATTACATTTGGAATTACATTGATTGGAGTGTTACGTTTGGAAAAAAAGACACTAAGATGTTTTTTTTGTATGTTATATTAATTGAAGTGTTACGTATGAAAACCCATCTTTTAATTATTCTTTAAAGAAAATTAATTAATTAATTTATTTATTTATTAATTTTGTCTACAGTCTATCTAAAATGTATATTAGTGTAAAAATTAGTTTTAAATTAACCCAATTCTATCACTAACAAAGGCCTTATTAAGAATAAAAATGTTATGGATGTTCAATAATTAGTGTTATAAAAAAAATAAAAAATAAAAAATAAAAAAAAAGAGAGAGAAAAAATTGCGTGGCTGTTTGCATGGTGATATGGGAACCATAAACCATTAGCTTCTTAGGATTTAGGGAAAGCCATAGAATTTGGAGAAAGTGAGCAAAGAAATTAGAGAAAGCCTAATTCTTAGAACTTGGAGAAAGGGAATGGTTTTATCAATGAAAAGAATGTGTGAGAGAGAGGGAGAGGTAGAGAGAGAGAGCTAGCCACGGAGAGAGTCTATATAATGCACCTAGTAGCATGCACAAAAAGTTCACATTTTCTGGGCAAAGCATAAACCATATGCATCCAAATAGAGGGAATTCTTGTGGAAGAAGAGGAGGAGGTTGAGGTTGCATATTTTTCCTACCATTTCATTATTCCATTTCAACCCTACAACTAAGTAAGAAAACCCTCTCAATCCTCTCATTTTTTTTTACATAATTGAAATTTTCAGATTGTATACATATGATACATTGTCTAAATTGTGTTGAAGATAATCTATCTTGAATCTGCCAGCATGTTACCCGAATTTTTAGATAATTTTATACTCAAAATTTCGAGATGATTTCTTCTACAAAGTTGTTGATAATGATGTCTAGTTTATCCAGAAATTTTGGAAACAATTTTCGAGCTTTCTACGAATTTATACAAATTTTTAACTAAATCTGAAACTGTGTTGAGAATAATCTGTCTTGAATTTGCCAGCATGTTACCCGAATTTTTAGATAATTTTATACTCAAAATTTCGAGATGATTTCTTCTACAAAGTTGTTGATAATGATGCATAGTTTATCCAGAAAATTTTGGTAACAATTTTTGAGCTTTCTACGAATTTATACAAAATTTTAACTAAAGCTGAAACTGTGATGAAAATAGTCTATTTTGAATCTGCCAGAATGTCACTCGAATTTTTAGACAATTTTATACTCAAAATTTCGAGAAGATTTCTTCTGCAAAGTTGTTGATAATGATGTCTAGTTCGTCCAGGAATTTTGGTAATAATTTTTGAGCTTTCTACGAATTTATACAAAATTTTAACTAAATCTGAAACTGTGATGAAAATAGTCTATTTTGAATCTGCCAGAATGTCACTCGAATTTTTAGACAATTTTATACTCAAAATTTCGAGATGATTTCTTCTACAAAGTTGTTGATAATGATGTCTAGTTTAACCAGAAATTTTTGGAAACAATTTTTGAGCTTTCTACGAATTTATACAAAATTTTAACTAAATCTGAAACTGTGATGAAAATAGTCTATTTTGAATCTGCCAGAATGTCACTCGAATTTTTAGACAATTTTATACTCAAAAAGTGCATATCGGAATCCATAGTGACCATTCCAAACTAGGACAGGTTACTTACCCGATTATAGGTTGTTTGAAACCGCTGCGTGCGTAGTGAAACCCTAGCTCCTGACGAGATAGAACAGGGAAACCCTACCCCTCCATAGGGTTGTTTTGGCTCTCATTTGCTTGCTATGTGCTTTAGAGTGTGTCTTTATAGAAATGCATGTATCAGTTTGCAAGTCTGGGTATCAGACCTGCAGGCATCAGTATTTTGGGAGAATTAGTTTTACCTAAGGGTATCAGATTTGGGGGCAGTGATTTGGGGAACAGTGATCAGTATTAAGAACAGTGTGTTCAGTTTACAAATGCCAACTGTGTGTTGTCTTTATTTTAAGTCGAAGTGCTGTCCGTTTTTCTTCTTATTGTTTCCTTATTATGCTTTATTTATCTTTTTTCAAGGTAGTTGACGGTTAATACCGGTTGTTCAGGGTGAGCCCTGGTTTTGAGAATTCTCACGTAAATTGTGTTGCGAAACTCTAAGATGGCACGGGACTTATTTGAACCCTTTTCGGTATTCGGTTTTGGAATAAGGGTGGATGTGCAGGTGGCACACAGGGAGGTTACTTACCCCTGGCAGACCGTTTCCTTGGGGCAGACCACGGATGCCACTACTTGGGTATATAACTCCGGACGTGGGCATCCCTGGTAGTTACGGTTGGTAACACTTAAATATTTGACTAAGGGATGGTTTCAAATTAACCGTTGTCATGCTTAGTGGTTGGTAAGTTAAATCTCTTTGGTGAGATTTCGAGTGTCATCTAATTTATTAAAATTACTGAAATTATTCTAATGATTGTAATTTCTGTGTATAATTATATTGTTATCTCATGTTTAGAATATTATTATTTTTTCTCTTAAAAAGAATGGTAGGTTGGTTACATTTTCTTACTGTGTTGCAAAACTCATGGCATATATTTTGTTGCCCTGGCGTTTCATGCCAGATTATGTCGAAGAAGGGACTGAGGCTGAAATTGGAGCTGCTGCCAATATCGAACCTTGGCTGACTTAGAGTCAAGATTTTATCAAAATAAAATCCTGTTATCCCTTGTATTAGGATTTAACTATGTTGTTACGTTGTGTGTGAACTTGTAGTTTTATTTTGTTGTTGGACTTTGACTATGTAAGAACTTAAAAGTTCCTAATTAGTAGTTAAAACTTTATCTAGCAAGTTATCGCTATTTAAATCTTATGACGTTTCAAAAAAAAAAATTTTTGGGGCGTCACATTACGTTTGAAAAAAAAATACACTAAAGAGTTTTTTTTTAAAGAGTGTTACGTTTAGAAAAAAGTATACTGATGAGTTTTTTCGGAGTGTTACGTTATTACATGTGGGAAAAATGCACCAAAGAATTTTTTAGTATTTTACATTAGATGTTATGTTAGTATTACATTAGAGTATTACGTTATTAGAGTGTTATACTTTTTTCGTAATGTGAGATTTATTCTAAGAGGGAAAATCCAAAACCTCTGTAATATGAATTGTTCAAATATATAATTTTACATTTAGAGAAATCCACTTTTATCCTTAGAAAATTAAACCCAAACATGTAAATGACTAAATTTTTATATAATTTTCACTTTAATGAAACCTTTAAATGCATTAAAAAAAATGAAAACTAAATAATTTACAAAATTATATTTTAAAATTTATTAATACTTCATTCAAAAATAAAAAATAAAAAAAATGAAGGATTGACTTCCATCTTGAAAGTTTATTTAACTTTTAGATTTTGAATTCGCCCACCA